TTGTGGTGTATTCACTTGATTATGTTTTAAGCATTGAGTACCTTGTTGTTAAAATTATATTCATGAGAACTTGTTTCCAATATTGGATATATGATTGACTTGTGTAATGAATTGTACACTTCGTGTTGACATTATGTATGCCATTTTAGAATTTGAATCCTAAGACATGGATTGTGTGGTTTCAACCTACTTGTGCATGGAAGGTGGTTTGTATGCCTTATTATATATATATAAGTTTTGAACTTGATATATATTTTGAAATCTCTTGGGACATTGTTACATATGACATGGCTAAAGTTCGGCTTTAGTGCGGGAGGTATGAGTTCTCCCCAATTGAGATAGTGCGCACTAGGGTGGTCTTCCCAGCAGGTTAATGCCCGGAATAACCATTTTGTTCTCGGCGGAAATCCGAGACATGATGTCCAAGTCTTCCACTATTTGTTTTCACACTTTTAGATTTCTAGTTGATAATCTAGAGAATCTATGTCATGATGTGTGGTATTAGATATTCTAACTATCCTAAATTGTTATATTTAGTTGATCTCACACTTTTAGATTTCTAGTTGATAGTCTAGAGAATCTATGTCTTGATGTGTGGTATTAGATATTCTAATTATACTAAATTGCTATATTTAGTTGATTTCGCATTTTAGATTTTAAGTTGATTACTTGGAAAATCTATACCTTGTTGCTTTGTGTAAGCATGTTCCTATATTGATGCTTGGTGTAAGCATATTCTTATATTGTTGCTTTGTGTAAGCATGTTTCTATCTTAATGCTTTGTGTAAGCATGTTATATCGTGTTGCTATGTGTAGCATGCTCTTGGGTTGTTGAAATTGCATAAAATATGTGTTTTATGATAGTAATGATCTTAGGTAGCTATGATGCTCCCTGGGTCTCACCTTTGACATAGACATTAGGTGAAATGAACCACAATGATTAAATCATGCAAACTTGTAAAACGTTGGTCAATGCATGCTCATTTCCTACGAGTAGTTTTATGTTACTCACCCCTACGTTACTGGGGCATATTTTAGGTACAGGACTCAAGACTTGAAGATTTCATTGCTTGGGTGATTTGTGGCTTCACGTGACAAAACTTGTATTCTTGATTTTGTGTATGTAAAGTGTACATAAGTACACTCTTTTTAATGTATTTGACATGTATAACGTGAGGCCAAGGGCCGCAAACCTTTAAGTTCATATGCATGTAATTTAAACTTCAAGTTTTGCCATTAAAATGTATTTTGTCAACTTTTGAGGTTTGACATGTCAAATCTTGAAATGGAATGTAATAAGGCCATGGGCCATTGTAGCATGTTTAAATATCCATATTACACTTGCGTGCATGTTCACATTATCACACACTAGCGTATTATGTGAATTGAACATGCCATGGGGGATTCCAAGTAGACTTTCAGCCTTGAATGCATAACTTGAAATTTTGCACTTTCTCGAGTCATTTTGGTCGACCGAAATGGCATTTTGGTCGACCGAAATGGCATTTCGGTCGACTGAAGCCTTTTGGGTTTTGTTTGAACCTTGAAACTTCACTTTCTAGTAGCCAAAGTCAGCGTTTAGGGTCATTTCGGTCGACCGATGGCTCATTTCGGTCGACCGATGGTTCCTTTTGGTGTATCAAACCAACCAAGCCTTAAAGACTTGTTTTCAGCTGAAATTTTGTCCATTTCGGTCGTCCGATGGGTCATTTCGGTCGACCGAAATAGCTAGATCCCGAGAGTAGCTTCAGTCCAGTTTCAGCACTATTCTTCCGACTTCAAATGACCATAACTACTTCGTTTTAAATCCAAATGGGATGATTCTTGAGCCTAAATTCATGGATTTTGAGTCAGCTTTCCAATGGTACCAATTCCATTCTTAGATTCCAATCACAATGGGAGTTATTCAAGTTTTAGTGAGAGGGTGTCGATTTTCGCTTAAACCAGGAAAGGGCGTTTTGTGAGATTCTTGTCCAATGTTCTTAGAACCTCTTGGAAAGTCTTGAAATGATTAGATTAGGTTGTTTCCACCTTATTTGACTTGTTTAGAGTCAAGTTTCTCCTTTTAATGGTGAGTTGACCATTTTGCCCTTTGGTTATGGTTTTTGTCCTTTTTGACCCTTTGTTTCCGCATTCGTTCTCATTGAGCTTCATGACTTCATGGAAGGTTACATTGGTGTCTTAGAGATGCTTTAAATCTCTAAAGACTTCGAGTTATCTTTTGCTTCCGCGTTTCGGACTCGTTACCGGGTCAATTTTCGGTTCATCACTAACGAACCGGGTTGAAAAACTTGGGTCGTCACACCATGAATCTTGCATGAAATCAAGACAAGGCTTTTTATCATGGCAAGAATTAGAAGAAATCAGAATGCGAAGGGCTGTCATCAGAAAGAACTTCTTTATTAAAAATAAGTCCCATATAGACTTGCACCTTTAATAGAAGCGGAAGAGCACTCCGAAAGGCCTACAAATCCCGAACTCCTCTTCTATCTAACTCCACAAAAGTGGCAGAAAGATCTCTTGATGCAAACAATAATTTATTCACAGTATGCTTGCAACAGCTTTGGAGCACAGCCTCTCTTGAGTCTCTTCGTCAACCTCAGAAAACCTTCCTCGACACCCACCTTCAGCACACCATCCTATACCCTACGGCACACCATTAGTGTCTTCCTTCACCACCAAATTCAGCACATGTTTCTTCTGAACAACGCACAGCAGTAGACATTATCTCTTGCCACTGGAGTTCCATCTCATCGACGCATAAAGGAGAAATGGGATTTGTAATTGAATACGAAATCAAGGCTAACGTAGTATATTATGTTTTTAAGTGTGCAAAACATGTCCACATAGCCTTATCTAGGTTTCCGACATTTTTTTTTTTTTTTTTTTTCCTGAATGGGGTGTTTTATATAAAATAAATCAAAATAGTACAATTACAAAAAAGGAGGTAAACCTGCATTACATATCAAGGAATGGAAAATGTCCACTTCCAGTAAAAGAACAACCTATCCCAAAAGCAAGACATTAATGACCAATTACAATTATAAAATCTGCTAGACTAATATTTAGATATGTAATTACATCCCAAACAATAGCATGCACTGCATGTGAACTCTGCTCTTGTATCCCATTATGAAGGGCAACAATTCTGATACCGTATCTTCCAAAGAGTAACCGGAAACAACCCACTTAAAATCTTGTATTTAATGGATTTGGTAGCAGTATGCTGACTAAACCACTCCACAACTTGATTCAAACTACTGAAACTTGGTTTCTGTGCCTGCAACAACTCAAATAATCCTTCCCAAATCTCTAAAGCAAAGCCACAATTACAAAACAAGTGATCATTTGAATCATCCCAGCAAAACAGTTATGACAAATGGCTGAAAGTTGCAATCCTCTTTTCTGTAAATTCACAAACGACAAGTTTTTGTTACGTAGGATGACAACAGCACAAATACTAACCCTTGGCCTGCATATTTTCCAACACAAACTGTGACCATTAGATCTGCAGATATTCCATGCTGTCATCAAAGAAAAATTCCCATGCTTCCATTTAATTTGATCACTTCCAGAATGTGTAACCACCTGCTGTATAATATTCTTCATGTGATTCGAGAATTCAGCAAGTAAATTCCAAGCACCTTGCTGTAACATGACAAACAATCCAGTCTGTCTATCATAGTCTCGGAATCAAGTAGCCCCAAACAATTGAATCAAAGTTTGCTCTTGACACCAAGGGTCTGTCAGCAATTTAAACTGACTATCATCACCAACCTGAAAGGTCACATTATCCAAAATCAACTCTCTAGCCCCCAAAATATACTTCCAAACAATTGAATCAGTCACCTTTGGCACAACCAACCAAAAATTAGTTTTGTTTAAGTACAGCCTGCAACCATTGTATCCATAGCTTCTCTTTTTGCTGGATGAAATCCCAACACATAGTCATCTTTGCATCACAATCAATATCCTTAATCCTTCTGATGTTGAAACCACCCTCCTCTGCAGGAAGGGTTGCTTGACTCCACTTCAGTTGAGCCATCTTCTTGGTGTCCTGCTTGTCACTCCACAAAAAATTTTTACATCTTCTTTCTAACACATTTTTCACTTCCCAAGGAACCTTGAACCCAAAAATCCAGTGATATAAGTATGAAAAAAGCACTGATTTAATCATCTCCAACCTCCCAGCTAAAAATAGATTAATTGTATTCCAGTGACCCAATCTAGCATTCACTTTATCAATCAACAATCTGTAATCTCCAGTTTTTAAAATGTTATTAGATAAAGGTAATCCAAGATATCTGAAAGGAAATTTTTCCACTTGAAAATGCAGAATCATTGTTAACCTTCTTCTTCCTCTCACTGCCTTAGAAAATATAATTGAACTTTTATCCTTGTTAACCTGCAGGCCAGAGGTAGATCTGAATAAAACCGAGATTTCTTCTATAGCTTTGACTGAAGCCACATCAGATTTCGCCGCCTTTAAAAGATCATCTGCATAGAAAGCATGGGATATATTCAGCCCTGTTTTTAACACACCTTTACATCTCTGAATTCTTCCATCCTCAATGGCTTTGGCTATAAGATTGGAGAAATACTATGTAACAAAAGAGAACAGAAGAGGGGACAAAGGACAGCCTTGTCTAAGTCCTTTTGAAGCTGAGAAAAATCCTGCAGGAACTCCATTGCAAGAACTTCATTGCAAAGAAAAGAGAAATTAGCTGTAGTAATACATTCCATAACCCAACTGATCCACTTCTCACTGAATCCATAACTCTGTAAAATTTTCTGAATACACAACTCTGTAAAATTTTCTCACAGAAGATGTTTCCAACACATTTCAAGACAAGTCTATGCATCTTAAGACTTGGATTTAGGGAGATTCGATGTTTAGACATATACTCAGCACAAATGTAATACAAACTTCAGACACCAAATTAACCCAGAAGATTTCAACGAAATCCAAATTTAGTTTGTGAATGAGTTAACATCAAATCTAGCAAGAACTCAAACCTTTTTATTTCCCATCTCATTCATAATCAACCAAACTTGCTTCATTTCCTTGATCTATTGTTTTCCATTTTGCTATTAAGCAAGATGTAAAAGAATATTACTGAGGTCCAAAATTTTATACGAAACACCTCAAGTGGATTGAGAAAAAATGAGATTCCTTTGATTATTGAAAAATGACAAAGCTTTCCCTACCTATTCTCAAACAAGTGAGATCCCTCTAGTGTTACATTAGAAGCGTGAGATATTTTCATGCATTCATATATCCCAGAATCGGTCGCACAGCAGCTTTGAAATCGTCATAAAATTTTTGTTCCGAAAACCTGTCTGCCCGTTTCCTTGCAGCCGCAGCCACCTTGAGTCTTTCCAATTCTGACATCCTTATAATTTTTAGAATGGCATCAGCAAATTCTTCCACAGTTTGCGCAAGAAATCCAGTTTGTTGTCCATCTTCTTCTAACACAATGTCCATTTTTGGCCCAGCAGAATTATGAGCTGAAAATGAGGAAATCTGTAAGCTAAATACATTCACGCACACATAAATCCTTTTAGAGGACTATTGTAATTTAAGACATAAATCTCTCAAACTCCCTACCAATCGGTATGGCACCTGCAGCCATGTACTCCACAACGCTTATGCCAAAGTGCTCATCTGTCATGGAATGGATCCCTGCAACAGAACTCCCAAGCAGTCTCATCAAATCCCTGCATTACAAAAGAAAATTCAAATTAGTCTCAGTATTTTTAACAAGGAAATTAGGGAAGAATCTATCATACACACATCAAGAGTAATAAAAGAAAAACTGAGAGATCCAATAGGACAATTTCCATGTTTTCTTGCTACAGAAGAATCCGTTAAATGGTCTATGAACTTCAGTTGAACCCGATGTTTATAAACTATAATAAGATATGAAAAAAGTTGGATGTTTATAACTAAAGTATAGTAAAGGAAATCACCAGGAGTTCTCTACAAGTAAACCATGTTTTCACTACATAATTTGAATCAAACACTAGCTACATAATATTCTTCCTTAAGGCAATGTTCAAGACTTGCCAAATGGAAAAGGAAAAGATCAATACTCTGATTCAACCCATGGGAGATTCGTGAGGCTTTGTTTGGTTAGATGGAATCAACTAGAAAAGAAAGGAAAGGGAAAACTTCTAAAAAATTTTGGAGTTTGGATAGAAGGAAAGAAACGTACAAGAAAATTTAGTTTCTCGCACTTGCCTATTTTCCCCCAAAACTTTTCCTACCAAAAACACGCGAAAATAATATTTTCATGTGAAAGGAGTTCCTTTTTATTTGATATTCCTATTTTATCCAAAAATTTAATAGTGTAAAACAACTTGCCAAAAAAAGAGGCAACTAGTTTCGTGGTTTCTTTATTTATTTATTTATTTATTTTTATAAGTAAAATTGTATTAGAAAGCCCAAAAGGGGAACGCGTCCCAAGAGCTGTACAAGTTTCTTTCTTTATTTTTTATTGGGTTTCTTTTTGTGTGGGGGCCATAAACTACTATATAATATGGATGGGAGGCTCATCTAACCCTTTTTTTCAATATTTGTCTGATCTAATACTTGATAATAATATACTTAGCAACAACAATATATAATTGGATTCTGTTCTTATCGCAGGGGAATATGTTGATTCTAAATTGAAGAGTGGGGTTCCTGGCATTTTATGCAAGCTTGATATCGAAAAAGCCTACGATCATGTTAATTGGAAGTTTCTTCGTTGTCTACTTTAGAGGATGGGGTTCAGAGATAGGTGGATAAAATGGATAAAAACTTGTATTCCGTCCGTTATGTTCTCTGTGCTTGTGAACGGTTCCCCTACTAGTTTTTTTACTAGTTCACGTGGTTTGAGACAAGGAGACCCATTATCGTCTTTTCTATTCCTTATTGTCATAGAGGGATTGAGTAGATTAATGAGAAAAGCGGAAGATTTGAGATATATCAAGGGATTCAGAGTTAGCAGAGATGTTGAACATCAGATGCAGATTTCCCATTTGTTGTTCGCAGATGACTCCTTGGTTTTTTCTGATGTTGTTGCCTCCCAACTCCGATATTTGAGGTGCATTCTTGTTTGTTTGGACTTAAGATTAATGTTGGGAAGAGTGTGCTTGTCCCAGTGGGGGATGTTCCAGATATTTCCTCCTTAGCTGCAGTTCTTGGGTGTGGAGTAGGCGCTTTTTCTCTTCCTTATTTTGGATTGCCTTCGGGAGTTTCCTCTGCGAGAGAAGGGAACTGGGACCCAGTGATTAATAGATATGAGAAGAGATTAGCAGGTTGGGAAAAACAGTATATTTTGAAGGGGGGGGAGTCACTCTCATTAAGAGTACTCTCTCGTCCCTTCCTACCTACTTTTTATCTTTGTTTCAAATCCCATGCTCTGTTGCTGAAAGGATTGAAAAAATTCAGAGGGATTTTCTATGGGGCGGAAGAGGAGAGGAGTTCAAGTATCACCTTGTTAATTGGGAACAAGTTTGCAAACCGTTGAAATTAGGCGGTCTAGGCATTCGTAAGCTGGTCCCTTTTAATAGAGCTCTTTTGGGAAAGTGGTTATGGAGATTTGGTAAGGAACGCCATCGCCAGTGGCGAAGAGTTGTCTGTGTCGCTTTGGAGAGGAGAGTGGGGGCTAGTCCTCCCATCCAATCTCTGTTACGGGAGGCGTTGGTGTATAGAAATTCATTCGGAAAGGTTGGGATGTTTTCTCCTCACATATTAGATTCAAGGTTCGTGATGGTAGGCATATTCGATTTTGGGAGGGTTTATGGTGCGGAGATCAGTTGTTGTCTCTCCTTTCCTAGACTTTACAGCATTGCCAATAACAAGCACGCCTACATAATTGATTGTTATCATCTCGATAACAGTGGAGTTACGTGGGATGTGCGTTTTAGGCGCTCCTTTCAGGATTGTGAGATGGAGGAAGCATGTGTTTTTTTGGATCTCCTGTATAGACACAAGGATATCGGCAAAGGGTGTGACGATATTTTGTGGGTCCCGTCAACCCATGGTAGGTATGGTGTCCGATCCATATTCTTGTGTTTCTCCAATTTCATTGGTCACGATTTCCCATTGAAGTCTATTTGGTGTTCTAAAACTCCTCTTAGAATCGCATTCTTCATTTGGACTGCCACATTAGGAAAGATTTTGACATTGGATAATCTGAGAAAGAGAGGTAACACCATTATTAATTGGTGTTGTCTATGTAAAGCAGATGGAGAATCCGTGGATCACATTCTTATGCACTGTCCTGTGGTGTACGATTGTTGGAATTTCATATTTAGCATGTTTGGCGTTTCTTGGGTAATGCCTAAGCATTCCTTACAACTGATCAACGCATGGAAACGATGCCCAATTAAAGGTCATGCTCGTGATTATTGAAGGATTGTTCCACATTGCGTTTGGTGGTGCCTATGGCGAGAGTAATAACAAAAATTTTGAAGATAAGGAATCGCCTTTAACAAATCTAAAAATTCATATTCTTCGTTCTCTTTTTTGTTATGTAAGAGGAAACGCATGCTCCTCGATTGATGACTTTTTTTATCTTTTGGATGTTATTGGTCCTTAGGTCCTTTTTTCGTTTTCGTATTAGGGACGTGTTCCCCTTTTGAACGCTTTTCTAATATACTTTTTACTTATCAAAAAAAAAATAATAATATATAATTTTATCGAGAAAAAAAAAAAAACAACATATAATCAATTTTTTGTTTTTAAATTTCCTTTCCCTCAAACTAATAATTAGTTCTACCTAAAAAAATATTATGAAGCCTTATTTTAAATATAAATATTAAATAATTATATTATTAAATTTAATAATCCATCATTTTACTATTTCTTTACTAAAAATGAATATAATTAAACACAAATTTATTTCTTTTTTTAGCATTTGAAACATAAGGGTAGTTTTGGTATATATAATAACTTTCTTTCTTCTTTCCTGCTATCTAAACTAACTAATTAATATTTTCCTACAATTTTCTTGAATAAATTTTCATGCTAACCAAATGAATGCTAGAAAATTACTTTTCTTTTCATTCACTTCACTTTCTTTTTATTTACTATTTCTTTTCTTTCCTTGCTTATTTCCATCTAACCAAACAGAGCCTAAAGGTTTAAGAAATTCTCATGGAATTACAAGGAATTACATAGGAAGGGGAAAAAAAGTGTTGTTCGGATATTCACATTTCACATTCATAGAATTCCACATCATATAGAATGGATGTTAAAAGTAAGCACGATACAATTATACAAAGTGACATTGAACAAACCTGTACATCAGATTCTTATAAAACTCTACATAATCTGCCACCTTCAGTTCAATGGCTTGATCTTTCAAATTCTGCAGTCTTTCCTCATCTGCCTTATTCCGACAACTACCCACAAATAAGAGCTTCGGTTTAGGCAAGTCTACATCTAAATTCTTGACGGCAATTGAAAAAGCCTCAAGTTGAAGAGCATGTGCCTGATATAATATATATACATATTCTTTTGTTAGTGTGCGCGCCTGGGAACCATTGCTTGGTGCAAAGGTAAAAGCCCATGCTGCCAAGCGTGAGAAAAATGGTTCGAGTCTAGGGGTAGCCACTTTGTGCAAAGGTTAGGTCTGATAGCGAATCTGTCCCTCCAAGCACCCTCAATTTATAAGAACCAAAACTGGGCATAAATATATATGCGGTTCAGGATTTAGGGTTTTCGCACGTGTGTGTGAAAGAATGAAGCACAAAAGGGCCTCACATAACTAATAAAGGCCCCCAAAATGACCACTAAAGTCATAGTACATTGTGCAAAAAATATTAAAATAAATATGCTCACCTTTTCTGGACGAAATTGAGCAACAGAAATTATTGATGGATTTTCCGTTTGTCTTTCCAAGGGAAGCACCTATTTAGACTGCAGCTGGTTAGAATATACATAAATTTGAACCAAAATATATCAAGACAGCTATGAGAATAATTGAAATAAAAAATATAATATAAAGAAACCAAGTATCGGATACAGATTCCATTACAGAGAAAGGGATACTGTGAAGCAAGAAGACATTTCCTCCAAACTAAAGAAGAAAGACAAATTGCTAGAGATTAATAAGAAAACTAACTTAGAAGGCAAACTAAGGAGGCATAAAATGTTTGGGGCAACAGACTCCTTTCCCTCAATAGTAAATTGAGGAATTCACCAACAAAATAATTGACCATGGTCAAGAGAGAAAAGAGAGAGCTTGATAGAATGATATTGCAACATTTATCCTCTATTGATTTCAGAAAGAATGAGAAGAAGTGAAATTTTAAAGAATGCATAAGAAATGAATCTACTTTTCTACATTTTCCCTTTCCTTGCATGTCCCTCATTGTCTTTTTCCACAAGTAAAATGTTGTTTTTTTCTTTCCCTGGCAGGTAAGTATTACACCAATCTAATTCATCCGCCAGAGAGTAGTCCTAGTTCTCAGCAAAAACCCATGTACAAGATTTTTCCAAGTAAGGTTTAATTAATTCTCTCTCAATCTTTGAAAAAACCTAGTAGAGCATTACATAATTGAAAAAACACATAAAATAAGAGTTCAAACCTGAAGTCCTGAAGTATCACAAGGAGGATAAACTCTCTTAATGCGGCCCGGATTTCCCCAGAGCTTCTCGATATGAGATTTTGTCCATGAAGAGTTCACCATTGCAAGGTGTGCACAAGAGCCTACAATCCCATACATCCTGCTAAATAATATATAATAGATGACTTTGCACTGGGATAGCCAAATGCTGCCACAAGAGGGATTTTTCTAAGGTTCACGTAAAAGGAGAAGAATTACTGAATAGGAGACCAAACTTATCACCAAACTTCCAAAAACCAGCATAAAAATTTGACATCTCCTTATGCAGAGATATAAACACAGTTATATAACACATCTAATTTCAATATAATTTTTTTTTTTTTTTTTGTCATTTTCCATTTTCATACGTGTTTTTCAAGAGAAAATACTTAAAATAGAAGCATGCACACAAAAAAGAACGTTATGACAGTCACAAAACAAACCTCTGAGAGATCAACGCATCGTTATTATACATTGAACTCCGCCCACGAACACGAGATAACATGTCTAAACTGATGGTTGGATAATGTGTATAGCAAATAACTTTACATCCAAATATGAGTGCGACTGGATAAGTAAAAGCATATCCACTAGTATCAAAATAGTAATGAGGAGTGAACTTGCATAAAGCTTCCCATGAAAGATAGACTGAACCAAAGCTTTGACCAATCATGGTGAAACGAGGGTAAGTGGTTTCTTCAATCCACTTCCTGTTATATAAATGTACCACCTGAAACCCCCCAAAAAAATTAATAATAATAAATAAATCAATAGAATACTCATCAATCATTCATTGAATAGAAACCTCTGAGAACAAAAATTATATTATGCAAAGGTATGAATTACTAATCACTTATGTTACCTGGACTCGAGTACGGGTGTCGGACACGGGTGCTTGTCTAGAAATCGGATCCTTTCATCTTTGAAATTATTGGATATAGGGACTCGGCTAAAAAGGGTCAAAACTTGGACACGGACACTTGGACACGGTTATACTTATTATATCGGGTTACAAAGTATAGGCCATTTATGTATTATTTGAGGGTAGGATGGTATTTTGAAATAAAAACAAGACAATCTTGTAACATTTATTATTTATTTGAAAAGCAAGTAGTTGGAGTAAAAAGTAAATGTAAAAGTTAAAAAGTTAAGTAAAGGTAAAAGTTTAAAAAGTTACTTAACGGAGTCAAATGTAAATGTACAAGTTGCTGAGTAAAACAATCACAATGTGATAAGATTTATATTTTATAAGAAAACAATTGTCAGCCACAAATAAAAAGTGAAGACAGGTGGCAGCAACAATCTATTAAATACACTTTTAGATCTGAAAGGTTGCTTAAAAAACCACACTTGGTCAAAAGAACAAGACGCTGCGCGTGAAGAACCCATCATCTTCAACCTTAAAAAACAGTAATGTCGAACCAACAACCTCCATAAACATACCAGAAGGGATTCAATCTGTTAGACCAAGAGGGGGGGTGAATTGGTCAGATTAAAACTTTCCTCTTCTTTTCACTTAATCAGAGAACATGTTGAACAGGATATGTCACAACTTAAAATCAACCAAACCACATGAACACAAGGTATACAAGGAAAACCCTCTCAATAGGGAAAAACCTTGGTTCTTGGCCTCAGCCAATAAAAGCCTCCACTAGTTGTAAAAATCTTGTGACACGCCCAGCTATCTCACTCTCTGCACACACCCTTGTACAAGAACAGACACTAGTTTTCACAACCAATACTCACACACTAGCTCACCACAGTGCACACATGCACTCCCCCTGTCCTAAGCAACCTTGCTTGGACTCCAAAGCTCTCAATAACTTAATCAACAATAGGGTAAGGTATCAAAGCCTCACTACCATTTACAATAAAGTGTCAAAACACCACTTATCTCTGCACCACAAGATTAGATGGAATACACAGTTCAAAGTATATAACACAAGAAACTCTAGTTTCACTTCTCTGCACCAAGAGGGATATAACTGTCAAATCACAATGCATCTTCACTTGGTACCCAGACTAGGTTCCCACAGCCTTGACACATCCAAATACACTTGCTTGAATGAATTCCTCAATTAAATAAGCAAGGTAGATCAATAGAGAACATACAAGGCAAAAACCCTAAATTCAAGGGTATAATGGTCACTTCACAATGCAGCCTCAAGGAGGACCTGAAATTGTCTTCTACAGCTTCAAATAGCTTAGATACACTTGCTTAAGAGATAAACCCAGTGAAACCAGCAAGGTATATTAGAGATAGCACACAACAGCCTTGTAGTATTCAAAACCCTAGCTTTGAGCCTTCAGGGGTAAGATTGTAAATTAGCCTCAGATCCAACCCAAATTCCACACCCTTAGTCTTCAGTAGGTAGAATACACTTGCTCAGTTGATAAGATCAATGCAAACAGCAAGGCACAACATAGATATCACAGTTTTAAGCTAAAACCCCAAAAACCCTAGCTTTGTAGCTTCAAGGGGCAACTCTGCAATGTAGCTTCAGTTCAGGCTTGCATTTGACTTTCACAGGCTTGTATAGGCAGGATACACTTGCTTGAGAATTAAACTCAGTTTGATAAGCAAGCAATAACAGTGAGATAGCTCAACAGCCTTGTTTTCTTCAAAAACCCCAAATCGAGCCTCTCAAGGGTAAGTTTGTAATATGACCTTAGGGACACCCTAAACTTCACTCCCCCGGTCTTCAATAGGATATATACACTTGCTCGAATGATAATAACAAATTAAATAGCAAGGTATGGCTTTGTATATGCTCACAGTAGCTATTTTAGGTTAAAAACCTAAAACTCAATTTTGCCAAAGACAGCCTTAATATAGCTCAAATTTCCAACAACCAGAGGCTCCCTTAGCTTGAATATGATGAATTAAACTTGTTATATAGCAGGGACAAGATGTACACACAAGGGCATAACAATATAGTACAACCAGCAGCAAAATTAAGGCTCACAGCAGGTGTATATATCAGATACTGTATTTTTCTGGTTTGAGGGGCAAAAGAGTCAATTGGAGGTTGGACCTTCTTGAATATAGCTCCCACAATTTTCTTTCATCATAGTACACTTGCTCAAATCATCATTTCTCATTTTGAAGCAAGTTAATATCAATTTTCAATTTCAAAGAAAGCTTCACAAGTCGGTTTCTGCAGCAGCACTGTTTTTAGGGTATTTCAGGTATTTCACAGCTACAAAATTCTGGATTTTGGTTCTATCAAGAGTATATTAATTGTGTAGACATGCTCATACGAATAACCCAACAAGCACAGCAATATATTACAATTTCAGAATCCAAAACAGATTTGTAAAGCTGCTATAAGCTGAAACAAGTGTGGTTCACAGTACTAAAATAGAACAAGTCATCCCGCGGTCCAAACCACAACTAAGACAGCCTCAAATCAACAAACTGGGCATGCTCAGATGATAAACATTCATGGTATAGCATGATCAAACAAGTTAAGCTCGGGATTATAGATATAAACCGGAAAAGCAAGCTAAACTTGAGGTTTGAGATATGAAAGTTAATACCAGTCTTGGCCACTTCAGCTGATGTAAACCCTTAAGATACACTTGCTCAGACCATGATCAAGCTCCAAAAGTAACCACAGCAGATTTTCACCTCCCAATCCTCATTGTTTGCACCAGAAAACAGCCATCACAGGTTCTTATATCCTACAGTAAAATAGCACACTCTTCATACTGATTTCAGAGAACAAATTCAACTCAAAACCTTAAGAATTTCTCTGAAAGTCACTCAAACATTTTAGCTGTCGAGTCTCTCATACACAGCCTCACAATGTAGCTCAAAGGACTCTATTTTTGTGCCTCATTGCTGCTGCTGCTATAACAGCATATTTATTTAACTTCCATTGCTGCCCTAGTATGGATAAGAATATTCCATTACTAGCCAATCAAAGATAGGGATATAGGCAGAAAGTATACACTGTGAATGGACTGAAATGCCCCTGAACAGCCCTATCTTGACACTAAAAAGTACCTTTTCTGCAGCCCTCAACTGACAATATACAATGCTGATATCTACAGCTGGGAATTTGAATTTCTGTCAATATCCTCTCTCACTAGGACCACAGTGCACGTGGCACATTGTTGTGAAACCTTCATTACACCAGAATTCTCAATGAATTACCAGAATTACCCATACATCAGGGTTGTATTTGCTGCCACCTGTGTGTGTGATATGAACTAGAAAATGACCATTACATTGTATAACAACACCTTTTATGAAGAGTAATCCATTAACACACATAGTGTAATGACTTAAATACCCGTGACAGATACCAATAATGAATGAATAGCCATGAACCCTTTTGATAGACACTTGACATTAAAAAGGCAAACCTCAACCAACACAATCTAATAAAGAGACATGAAAAAAAAAGTTCAGATCCTTCACAAGCATCCACCAATACAATCTTTCATGAGCATGTCTTCATCAATCGTTCGCCAGCCATGTCCGATGGTGTGAAAGGGTATCCGACCCATATCCAGTGTCGGTGTCCGTGTGGTGTCGTGTTGACTTAGACACCCTAGGCTGGTTAGGCGAGTCCAGGTAACATAGGTAATCACTACCATTGTTTCAGTTTACTCCAACATTTTAGATGTCATAACAGTAGTAGAACCATGTATGGTGAAAAGTAATTGGCAGTTGACTTCTGTTTGTTGGATCAGTGGACCTTGGGCAACTTATATTAGAGCCTTGGGTTATGGTTCTAACATTTACACACTTTTTGTCAATTGGTATCAAAGCGGGTTGCTCAAACGATACTGAGTACATCATGGAAGGTTGTTAGCATATATGATAGCCACAATTTATGGAATGACTTACCATATTAGCAGAGATTTAATGAGTGATTTATCTCATTCAAGGTTTTACACAATTCTCTCCTTCTTCTTCTTTTTATATTTCTACTTCGTTTCAGAGCCAGGGTGGTCCAACTACAATGAGGGCATTGCGAGTTCGGCACCACCCATTCGGGAATGGTCTAATGCGACATCGCCCATTCGGGAAGTGTCGAGTAGGCAGGGTGGTCCGACCTCAATGAGGACGTTGCGAGTTTGGCACCACCCATTCAGAAATGGTCTGAGGAGACAAAGTTGTTCCTTTTTATGGTCTGAGGAAACATTGTTGGTTCTTTCATCTACATTGTTTAAACATATCTATTAAGGGGAATGGTATGAGGAGACATTGTTGATTCTTCCATCTACATGTTTTAAACATGTGAAGGAAAATGGTCTGAGGAGACATTGTTAGTTGTTTACGGTCTGAAGAGACATGATTGGTTGTTTATGGTATGAGGAGACATTTTTTATTTGTTGATCGACACTTCATTTGAGAGAAAATCATTGCTAGTTAGAATTACACTCTTCAACTTGTAGATTTTGAAGAAGGGTGCTAGCAAGACCATGTTTGAAGATGCACTGTCCAAGTTGGGTGTCTCAGATATTAACGCACTAACTTGAGGGGGAGTGTTAGCAGATCTGATAGCCACAATTTACGGAATGACTTACCATATTAGCAGAGATTTGATTGTGCTATAAATATGCCATAGAATATGCTCTAGAATATGCTGTGATTTGATTTAGATTTGATTTAGTTTCCTTTCTTGTAATATGAGCGTGTGCTCTTTATATCTATAAATACTAGAGCCGTGAATGAGTGATTTATCTCATTCAAGCCTTTACGCAATTCTCTCATTTTTTTTTTTTTTTTTTGTATTTCTACTAAGGTCTTAAGGAAGACAGTTCCACATCTAATCCTATTTTATTTGCGGGTAGTAACTATAACTATTGAAAATCAAGAACCCATTTTTTTCTAAAATCTTTAGATGAGAAGTCTGGCAATGTGTAGAAGAAGGTTATTCTTTGCCTACAACTGAGAATAGTATAGAAAAACCAATGACTGATTGGACAAAGGAGGAACTAGTTGATGCACACAATAACTCTAGGGCATTGAATGCTTTTTTATTTTTTTTGTCTTTTCCTATTGTTAACATAACTAAGTTGGTGGCATTATGAACTGCACTGTTGCAAAGGATGCATGGCAGATTCATAAAACAGTTCACGAGGAACTACTCCAGTGAAGAAATCCACATTTCATATGCGTACCACACATAAAAATCTGGTGTTCATTTTTATAATGTTATTACTTAATTTTTTTTTCACGTTTATATGTTTTGCATGCATTGCTTATATTGCATGATGGAATATATTTATGTTCATTCAATTATTGTCCAAGCTAAAACTTGTGTTACCTGGACTCTACGGCAACGGCCAGAGTGTCCGTGTCAACTCGACACGGACACCGACACGGGATATGCGTCCGACCCTCCGTTCTTCAACTAGACATAGCTGATGACAAAAATAAACAAAAGGATGTGTAACTCGATGCTTGTGAAGGATTAGGGATTTTTTTCATGTTTTATTTATTAGATCGGCAGCCATACGAAGCTTCCTAGTTCAACAATGGCGCTCTGATTCGAATCGGTGGTCCAAAGGTTGGAGACGACTTCTTGTTTGTGAAATCACACGCGCTGACTTTGCACAATTTTATGTACCTACCTGAGCGTGGTTTCACGCAATTGTTAATACCCAGCCTTTAATGGCCAGGATGATGCCACCTATTTACCTATTTATTTGTATCTGAAAAGATAGAGACAATGGGCTTTTTAATAAAAGTAAAAAATTCAATGCCTTACAGCTAGAAAGCAATACCTACAGTTGTGTGTGGTATACAGCTGTTACTTTAGCTTTATTAGGAGTTAGGACTAATATACATATCATTTATATTGTTGAGTTGGGCTTCCTTGTTAATTGTGCTTTGACTTGTACAGGCCCAAAGGTCAAGACTAAGATGATAATACAGAGGCATATTAGCCCTAGCCCAGGCCCAAACCCGCCTAAAAGGAACCCTTAGAATTTTTTTTTACAGGTTCCCATCAAATAGTTGCAGGGTCCGGTACTAACACGGGAATGCATAGCCATGACTATGGCCATGCCACCAATCAAATGAGGCAAACAAATGGTAGTAATAATTATAAAATGTTCATAAAAAAGTACAATTGATATATTTATTTTTTTTAGTTTTATGATTGATGTCTCAAACAGAAAAAAATCTTTCAAATTTTTTTAAACTTTCCAAAGTGTCCAAGTACCCGTGTCCAATATTTAGACACTTTTGAGCCATGTCCACGTATCCTGTAAATTGATAGATTGACGAATCCGACCCTAGACATGCACCCGTGTCCGATACCCGTACCCGAGTCCAGGTAACATAGGCTAAAACTACATTAAAATAAAAGAAATTAATTTGTTCTACAAGACCTATAGCCCCCCTAGGTCTAGATCAGTGGAACTTGCGCAACTTTATATTAGAGCTTCGGGCTCTGGTTCTAATGTTTACACACGTTTTATCAATTAGTATCATAGCGGTTGCTCGAACAATATTAAGTGGATCATAGAAGGTCTTAAGAAAGGTAGTTTCATAGCTAGTCCTACTTTATTTGTGGGTGGTAACCAGTGTTGTTAAAGGCTCAAGACGCACCAAGGCGCTAAAGGTCCTTTCGAGCCTAGGTGCAAGACACGCGCTGAGGGGTGTGTCTGAGCGAGGCACACGCCTAAGTAAAATGAGGCACACAATTGAAATTTTAAACTACCGTAAAAGCATTCATATCTCATAACTCATATTAATATTCTAAAAATTAATATAATATATAAAGAGGTAAATCCATAAACTATATAGAATTCAAGAACCATAAAATAGAGCACAAATTTGTTTTCTTGAAAGACAAAACAGAGCGCGCGCGCACACACACAAAAAAATAAAAAAAATAAAAAATAGAGCCAAAAAAGAAAAAGGAAGCATAGGCAAAAGAAGTAGATGAAGAGAGAGAAGTAGATGAGAAGAGAGAGAAAGTGTTAAAAGAATAAAAAGGAGAAAAAATAGGGCCCAAAAAAAAAAAAAAAAAGAGAGAGAGAAGAGAACTAGATGGAGAGAGAGAAGTAAACAAAGATGAGAAGAGAGGAGTAGAGGAGAGAGATGTAGAGGAGAAGAATAAGAAAGAACTTACATGGCTTCGCCATTCGTCTCTGCCACTAGAGCTTCGTCGTTGGTCTCACAATCTTACTCTTTCTATGTTCAGTTGGCACTTTGACTCTTAGACTTTCTTATTTGTTTATTCTTTTGAACAAAAGTTCATTCTTTCATACGCTTAGGCTTTCTTATTTGTTTATTAAGTTGCCAAAAGTACCCTTTTGGCTTAAGAAATAGAATAATCATTTAAAAAAAAAAACCAGTGAGGCGTACCTGAGAAATAGGACAAGGCACAACTGAGGCACACGCCTCCTGAACATCCGTGCGCCAGGAATGACAACAGGCGCTAAACCTACGCCTCAAGCCTAGGCGCGCCTTTAACAACACTGGTAGTAACTATAACTACTGAAAAGAAAGAACCAAATTTTTTTTCTAAAATCTTTACTTTTTAGATGAGATGGTCTCACGTCTGGCAATGTGTAGAAGGTTATTCTATGCCTACAATTGAGAATGGTATAAAAAACCAATGACTAATTGGACAAAGGACGAACTAGCTGATTCACACTATAACACTAGCGTGTTGACTGCATTTTTTTTTTTTTTTTTTTTTTTTTTTTCTGTTGTTAATATAACTGAGTTTGGTAGGATTATGAATTGCACTGTTGCAAAGGATGCATGGCAGATTCTAAAAAGAAGTTCATGAAGATATCCAAACTTCATATGCTTACCACACATAAAAATCCAGTCTTCATTGTTATTGCTTTATTTCTTTACTTTTATATGTTTTGCATGCACTGCTCGTCTTGCATGATATAATATATTTTTGTTTATTTCGTTATTGTCCAAGGACTCCAAGCTAAAACCAGATTAAAAATAAAAGAAGTTAAGTATAACAGGACGTATTCACCCCCTCTAGATCTAGATCAGTGGACCTTTCGCTACTCTATATCAAAGTTTCGTGTTCTGGTTCTAACGTTTACACACTTTTTATCACTTTTTATGCATGACATGCAAACCTGGAGATAAAACATGAAAATTGGTGAGTCTGTAATGAACTGCAGATTGCAAGTGTTGACTTAAAAAGGTGTTGCATATCATAACTAAATACTGGCTACATGGAAAGGACTCAATTGAAAACAATTCTAGGGAAGCTGGAATGGATGAGGACTTGGAATCCCATTTAATCATTTATCCTGTAAACAACTACAAAAATTATACAATTAAAATTTTAAATAAACAGTTAAAAATTTGTTTTTATAACATCTCATCGCAAATTTCTTTGATATGCAGTACAAAGTTGAGGCTTTCTATCAAAAATTCATGTGTTTACACATATAGTATAAAAAATTCATGTGTTTACAAATACATATATGATATATGTAGGAGAAAACAAACCTTAGGTGGGCAGACTAATTTGACACCAAACCGATTGAGGGCTCGGGCCATCAAGATTTCAGGGGAAGCACCATGATCCCCAGTGTAGATGATGCAATGGAGATGAGGAGTGTCTTCTTGAATGGCCTTAACGGCGCACCACAGAACTCTCTCTCCACCACCACCGTCGTTGGTATAGGGGTGGAAGAACCCTACGGCACTTTTCCTACGCCACCAACAGCCCATCACAATCGACACCAATTGTAAAATTATTAGGGCTGGAAGTGCAGATATCAGAGCCCACACCATCGCCATCGACTCAACGAAGAATCGACCTGTTCAGTAGCTTAATGAATCGAGATCAACTTATAAAATAGTAACTTGAAACTAATCCACGCTTCAATCGATGTTTCACGAAACTTCACACTTAAAAAAAAAAAAAAAAAAGCGACTTAGAAATCAATTCACACTTCAACCTGTAGGAATCAGTAGCAAATTTTAAACAAGCAAATAGCAGATTTCTAGGGTTCAGATTTTTCACAGCACAAACAGATTTGAGAGAGCAGAAAGAGAGACCTTACAGATTACAAGGGCTTGATATTATTTGAGAAGAAAGAGAAGATAGAACCGGTGGTGTCGCCGATCGCCGGCATCACCTGTCGTCCATCGATAGAGAGTAGAAAGAGAAATTTCGACCATGGGCATTAATTGTGGCTTTAGTGGGTGTTATTTTGTTGGTTCCAAACTGTCCAAGCTTCTTCAAGATTAATCTCTTTAGCTGGCCAGCCTGCCTTGGGCACGAACAGCTTCAGCTCCGCCTGGGCTCGAGATCGTTACTTAATTAGGGCAAAGGGGGAAAGGGAAGGTGATGGAGGGAGATTAAAAAGGTGTGTTTGGCATAAATGGTGGGAAGGTGATGGATGGTTTTAGAAGGATAACTCATGGCCTGAACAATGTTTTTCTTAACCTTTCAAAAATGGAAGGAACGTGAAGGCTAGGTTTATGTATTAGCTCTAATGCCAGAGTTACTTTTACATAAAATTAAGATTACATTTTATTTTAGGATTTAGTTTGCAAAATAAGAATTACACACCTTGATTAGTGGATTTAGAGACAAAATTAAAACAAAACCCATACATATATACAAGTTAGAAGTTGCAGCGATAGAGGGGGCAAGCTCGGAGAGTTGAGAGACAGCGGCTGAAGCGTGCGAACGGCGAATGGCGAACCCAAGCTGGAATAGCGGGCGATGGAAACCAAAAGATATGGGTTTTGATTTTTTGAACAATCTGAAATGATATGCTGATATGGGTTTTGATTTTGTAGATTTTGTAGTTTCCAATTGCAGAGAGAGAGAAGGCAAGTGTAAAGTTGAGAACGAGATTTATAGATGGAGGCGGAGGCTGAATTGATTTGTAGAGGCTGAATTTTTTTTTTCTTTTCTTGTGGGCCTAGAGCCAGTGTGTGTATATATATATATGTTAAAATATAAAAGGGTATAATGGTCAATTTATTAAAATAATTCCCTTTCTTTTCTTTCCCCTTCTTTTCCCAAACGTGATTATTGTCCTTCCTTTTCTTTTCCTTCATTAATCAATCAAACACAATACCAAATTAAAATTATCCTTCCCTTCCCTTTCCCTCATAATTAAAGTTATCATTCCCCTTCAAACCCACCCTACCAAACATAGCCTAAAGTGTAGAGCCACTTCAACGTTGACGCAGCACAATTGCTAACTTAATTCTACACTAATTTTGGAGAACGAAACTATGGTTGTGCACTTATTTTTTTCATTCTACACATTATTATATTATTATTTTAAAATATATAAAATAATTTTTTTTCATTGTTTATTTATTTTTTTCTCAACGGTTTTGTTCTTAACAACTATAATGTTGTTGATGCTAAAATCGGCTACTTAGATCCGATTCGAAATTGATGCAGTGCGGGCGTGCCAGAACTAATATTGTGGTTCGAGTGTGAGTTGTCAACGATAGTCTCTTTGGGAGATTGACTTTCAAGCGATGCAAGGATAGAGAAAACAATAAAACTCCTCTTTGAGTTCAAGAATTGCTTTATTTAAAAGGACTTTACAATGAATAATTTATAGTAACAATTAAGAGAATAGAAAGGGGAGAAAATGTAGATGTAGAAATAAATATAGAGAGAAAGATTGAGAGAGAGAAAGGGAGAGATAGAACGAGATATTGAGCGAGATATTGAGAGAGAGAGATAAGAAATAACAAGTATACTATTCTAGGAAAGGTGTGACGACCCTGGTTTTTTAAACTAGTACATCCTGTGATGAACCGAAGATTGACTGATAACCGATCCGAATGCGGAAGCGAAAATAGTAAACAAAACTCTAAGAAGTCAAAGTGACCTTCCATGAGGTCGTGGAACTTAATGAGAACTAATACGGAAGCAAAAGATCGAAAATATGACAAATAAGCCCCTAGGGGCAAAATAGTCATTTCTAAAAACTGTGAACTCGGGTGCCACTGAGCTCACCACTGGAAGGATAACGAAAAATTAATCAAAATGGACTCAAGAATCGCATGATTCGGAGCCCGGACAAAGGAGAAACGACATGACGAAGAAAAACGAGCACTTAGAGCAAAAAGGGTAAATTGGTAATTATCTAGGAAGATCCAGGTGCAACCAAGTACACCGTTGGAAAGACAGCGAAAAATTAGTCAAGTTCAAAAAAAAGTTCACTCAATTTGGAGTCCGGACGAGGAAGAAACGAGTGTTTAAAGTTGTGACGTCGCGTCGGCCCGACGAAGGCCATGGCGCGCCCGGCGCACATGCGCGAGCCCACCGGCACCCATGCCCGCGCCCAATGGCGTGCACATGCTGACAACAAGAAAAAAAAAAATGTGAGTTCCAAAACTGAGGCTTGAAACGAAGGTCAAGACGAGTTTTTCTGAAAAAACACGAAGAAGAAATTCCCCCTAAAATTGAGTTTTCTATCTGATTCTGTGTAAGGAAACGAAAAAAACTCACTGTAAAATCCCCAAAATGCCCCTAGATCAGAACTGGATAAGAGGGCAAAAAGCTGCTACAGGATCTGAGATCGAAAACAGGCTACCAAACGAATTTTTCTGAAAAAACACAAATAAGAAATCCCCCTCAAAATTGAGTTTTCTACGTGACTCCCGAGAGAATTAAAAAAAACTCACTGTGAAATGCCCAAAATACCCCTCCACGAAATCTGGTCATGAAGGCCAAAAAGCTGCTACAATTGAAAACTGGAAGCTGAAACTTCACGAGGGATTACCAATGCCAAGATAACATTTTATGGAAAAACACGAAGAAGAAACCCCCCCTAAAATAACATTTTCTAAGCGACCATGTCGAAAGAAGAAAATAAAACTAATGTGAAAAGTCTAGAAAGCCCCTAGATCAGATTATGCAACAAAGTTTCAAAATGAGTCCATAGGAGGCTCGTTTCACCAAAGAAGAAGGTCTGCCCGGAAACGACCATGCACACAAACGTAAATTACCTGTTAGGATACGCTACAATGGTCCACGGCTTAAAAATACCACCGATACAAAATCCAACCCCCTAACGGGGAAAAAGGCAAAAATGAACAAGAAAAGGGAAATTTGAAAACCAAAATTATCAAATGATTTCAAATTACCATTTGGCCCTTGGCCACACTTCAAATATGATTTATAAGACCCTATGAAAGAATAAAAATGGAATTCCCACACCCGATGCAAAAGTTATGAAGCAATGACGTAGCATTTTTCAATATTTTCATAATATTTCATAAAGTCAAAATTTACATAGGATGCAAAATAATTGTCATTGACCTCCGGCCTCATCTCATACATGCTAAATACATTGTAAAAGGTGTACTTATGTACACGTTACATATATGGAATCAAATATACACATTTTGACATATAAGGCTACATATAGGATTTCATGCTAACATTTTCATGAAATTGATACTCCAAGCCTACGAAACTTCCATGGCATAGTGTGCATCCCAAATCAAGGTCCCTGTACCTGAAAAATATGCCCACTACGTGGGTGAGTAACATAAAGCTACTCGTAGGAGATGAGCATGCATCGACCTAGCATTTTACAATTATATCACCTTAAGGTGAAACATGTCAAAGGGCTCATGCCACCTAACGTCTATTTCAAAATGAGACTCAGGGATCATCCTAAGTTACTCATGCAATTTAAAGTGAACAACGGCATACAAGGATACATGCTCAAATATACTAAGCATTGTTAAAACATGTTACACAACATACAATCATACATTTCCAAATATACTAAACCATATTAAGATAAGTCATGCAATGTCCAAGCATATGTACACAAGTATACATTTTATATGAAAATTTCGTAAATCAAGTATACGAACACAAGTATACTAAACTAAAAGAGATACGCCTAAAACAAGTATACACGGTACAAGCATACTGTGACGACCCTGGTTTTTAGGCCAGCATGTCCTGTGATGAACCGAAGATCGACCCGATAACGGATCCGATATGCGGAAGCGAAAATAGAAAATAAGACTCTAAGAAGTCAAAGTGACCTTCCATGAGGTCGTGGAACTCAACAAGAACTGATGCGGAAGCAAAAGATCAAAAATATGACAAATAAGCCCCTAGGGGTAAAATAGTCATTTCTGAAAACTGTAGATTCGGGTGCCACCGAGAACAGCGCTGGAAGGACAACAAAAAACTAATCAAGATGGACTCAAGAATCGCATGATTCGGAGTCCGGACGAAGGAGAAACGACATGACGACGAAAAACGGACACTTAAAGCTTTAAGGACAAACTAGTAATTATCCAGAAATGTCTGGGTGTAATTGAGCACACCGTTAGATAAACGACGAAAAATTAATCAAGTTAAAAAAAAAATTCACTTGAATCGTAGTCCGGACAAAAGAGAAAAGCCCAAAAGAAGAATTGACGTCGCGGCGGCCCGACGAGGGGCCATGACAGCCCCATGCGCACGCCCATGCGCGCGCCCATGCACGCCGCGCGTGCGCTGGGTGCACCATGGCTGGCAGCAACCCATAAAGCTGTTGTGTGATCTTTTTTTTCAGAAAATTCCAGAACAGAGGCTGAATTTGGAGGCCTAGATGAA